TAAAAAGTTTAATAAAAGTGCACTGAGTAGCTCTCATGAGTGAAGAATTTAAGGAGTATTTGCCCCAAGACTCAAATCATAAATTTTCCCATCAGAAGGCAAATCAGTGTTCTTAATATTACATGTAATTATTGAAAATGAAAAATAATCAGTTAAATTGATTGCATATAACCTCTCCCGGGTGTATTATCTGTTATTTATCAATTTTTTAAAGAAGAATCCATAGCTTTTAAAAGAATATTAGTAGTAGTTACTTAGTTTATAGAACCTCAACTTCAGAGATAATTCTAGTCCTTAAATATGAATAAAATAGCAATAATTGAGGTTATCTACTAATAGTGTTTCAATAAACAATAGTGGCACAAACATTTAGTGATTACTAAAGTCTGAGCATAGTCCTTTGTTTTTTACAATATTTGTGTTTAATATGCACAGCAATTCTGTACATCAAGTATTGTTATCTCCATTTTACAGCTAAAGAAACTTTTTAAAATTTAAATCTAAACAACTGAAAAAAAGATAATCCAGTATCCAAAATAAAATTGTCAATTTATAGTCTGTGCTTAATTCTCACATCTTTCTCTAGGGAAATGCAAGATCTAGCTAGGATTTACAAGTCCCTTTATTTTGATGTCTACAGTGGAGTTTAATCCTGCACTCACTCTTTATATTTGGCATACAGAGATGACGTCTTGTTCTCCACAAGTACTTTAATGTACTGATCTGTTGGAAGTAGGAAAAAAAAGTGCTTGAGTGCAACCTAGGACACCGCAGCTAGACCCAGACTAATCTTTTGTACTCTGCTCAATGACCTGATAGTCAATAGTTTCCTTGACCTCTGGCTTTTGCTTGGATTTGACAAACAAAATATATCAGATCAAGATGAGAAGTCTCATGAAACAGCATTTAGGCTATTTATTCAAGCCCGTTCCTTGTTAATGGTTGCTGTTTTTTTGTCTCCCCACCACCTCCACCACTGGGGATCGAACTCAAGACCTTGCGCTAGACAGGCTTGGTGCCACTGAGCTACATCCCCAGCCCTGTGGTTACTGTTTTGACAACAGCTCACTTTCTGGGACTTCACCTACTGTCCAGCTCCAGCATGAAACTTATTAACATCCTTCATGTGTTAATTGAGATCTATGCTAGCTAATGGTTTCATCTTATCCCCACCTATGAAAATCATCCTTTTACCAAACCACCTTCAATTAACTCTGTGGGCAAGCATACTGCTACATCCTGGAATCCTGATATACAGTCTGTGAATGTCTATCTGGAAGCATCTTTCTAGAGAGTGGTTATTTGTTTTAGCTTATATGATCATACTGCAAAGAAAATAACAAAAGGAAATTCTGTCTGAACATTGCAAAAAAGTTCAGGGAAAGATCCAGCGTATTAAGTCATCAGCTCCATACTGTTCTGGTGCACATCTCTACTCAAAAGGCATGGTGCATAGGACCCCAAATCTGGCTTGGTTTTTGAGAAGGTGGAAGTTTTGTTAGAATAAAGGATATTTGTGTTGTAGATAGAGATCTAATTAAGATAATTTGAAGTGTACTAAAAAAGATTAAGTAAGATGCCTGTTAAATAGCATACTGATGTGGGGCCCTACTTACCCCAGACAGAAGGGCATGAAATAGCACTTTCATACTACATTTCAACAATATGTTCTCAATCTGCAATCACCTGGGTATTTTGTTTTGTTTTGTTTGTTTTGTTTTGGTACCAGGGATCAAACTGAGGACTTTGCACTTGCGAGGCAGGTAGCAGCACCACTGAGCTAATTCCCCGGCCCTGTTTGTTTTGTTTTAGTTGGGCATGAAGATGGCTGAATATGCCACGAGAAAGTAATTATTGATAAAGAAAGGGGCAAGAGCAAGCAAGGACTCTTGTTAGGAATGCAGCTATATCAGCCAAATGGAATGAAACAGGAAATATTCCTCTAAGGTTGATCTATATGCAATGAAATTTCACACTTTTAATAATGAGCTTGATGACAGAATGACAGTGACACTGAAGTAAATAGTCTAAGAAGCACATTCAAAGGAAAGAGGAATGTCTCAAATGACTCTACAAACACATTCTGCCATGATATAATGACATTCATTAAGTAGGGTACAGGACAATATACTTAACCAGAAGAAAATCAAACTGCACAAATTCAATACAAAGGCAATCCTGCTAGGTCTAGGGAAACAGAAAAAGAGATTGCAATATGATTCATTCAGGAAATGTTTTTAAATTGATATCTAATACATACATTAGCTGATACAATATTTTAAATAGATTCTAAGTTAAAACTTCATAAATATGTAGCTTAGAAATTATGTACAGAAAGATAAGGATAATAAATTGCATTCAGACAATGCAAAGAGATTCTACATATTAAACTTGGTAAAATACTGTCCCAGTAAATAACTCTTACAGAATGAACCACCTCAAGAGCTGTACATTTACCCATGATTCTACATTTGTGGATACCCTTTGGCCTAACAGTGAGTTAAATATACACAAACCATGCTTTTATTATGCAAATTTGTACTGTAGCATGTATTGTAGCTGTACAGTCAGTAGCTGCACAAGGGGGATAGGGATACAAGAAGCATTGTTCCTGTTTAGGCACTTGGTAAGACAAACAGCAAGTGTTCGTACCTGTGCAAAAGTGTCAAACCAAGGCTTTTACCCATATAATGCTCTAAGCAACACTTTTTTTTTTTTTGTATATGCATCCCTGGGCATCACAGGGGGTAAAATACACCTATATCATTACTCTGTTCTGCAAAAATCTAACTTGCCATAATGGAATCCAAGTGTGCCTCACAACAGCTGCCTGGGGAAGCCAGGAGCCCATTTGTGCATTCACCACTTAGCAGCAAAGTGACAAGGTATGTACAGGAGCTCTAAAGCATCAACAGGCAATTTTATGTGTACAGTTTAACAATGAAATGTTCATTGTTAAATGTTTGTTCATTTAGGATTTATGTTTTCTTTTTATTTTTCTTGTGGAAGTACCCCAATTCAATGCAATGGCACACGAAAAAAACAGACTTGCAAATTTTGGTGGAGATGAAAAGTAAATCCTTAGGTGACTCGTGCATGGGTGACGACGACGACGATGATGATTTTGACACTGGCCATGTGAGCCGAAGTTTCTGTGGCAGTGAAATAGAGCAAAGATCAACTGATACAGACACAAGGAACGCAGACCTGCTTGATTCAGGTGATGAAGAAAATAGCCATGTAAGTACGTATTTGATGGGTTGAAATGGTATAAAATGCTCATGCAATGAAGCAGAACAATCCAATGTTAGAATTAGGTTTTAAAAACAGTGAGGATCTTGGTACGGGTGAAACCTGGTGAATGGAATGGAAGCACTGCCATTCAGTGTTGAAAATTATAACAGATGAAATGCTGTAAGATGTTGTGAAATACACACGTGGTGAAATACAAGTAAAATGTTGTATCGTGCTGGAAACATTGACAGAGAATCTGTTAGAGTTGAGTGGGCCACAATGGTGCTCTGTCTCTCTTTACTGATGTTAGTAATCTGCATGACCTCCTGATCTGAAGCCTGAATAATCATTACGATGCTGTTTTCTTTTGTTGTTGTTGTTTTTTCTGATTAGAGGAGAGAGGTGCCTCACAAAACTTCCCTGTTTCAGATTATAGAAGCATGGATAACCATGAGAGTGATGTGGTATTTACAGTTGAATGAAGGGAAGGGAAAGGAGGGCCTCAGCACCTTTGTTTCCAGCTGTACTAACACCTGGACAGAACCCAAGCCTGAGATGGTAACATCTTACAACAAAACCAAAGGATGGTGTTGATGAGTTGTGCAGCAAGTATAATGTCACTTGAAACACAGTGTTGGTTATGTTTTACTTGATCCTAAACAAGTGCTGCATAAATAGTTTGATAGTTTATGAAGAAAATGGCAAGTGCAAAGTATCACAGATAAATTTTCTTAGAGGAGTGGAACTTGAATTCATAAGAAATCATTTACAACAGAGAGAGTACACATATTTCTGCCTATGGAAATACACATAAAATATGGAGGACATTAGAAAAGTGACAGGGGATCAGGCAGGTACAACATCACGAAGACCTACTACAGCATCACGAAAATCAAAAAGGTGCCAACTGTGCCCTACAAAAAATCACAGGAAAACAAATGTGTTCCATCAGTGTAAGTAATACTTGTGCATAGAACATTCAGTCGTGTGTGAAGACAGCCTTGAGTGTGACAGTTGAAGTGAAGAATATTTCTGTGATTTACTTTTGTTTGTATTTACATTATGGTTCACAAAGGGTTTTATTTCTGATGTGATCTTCCCAGTTTTACAAACAAGCAGCTGATGTGAAAATGCTAAAGTTTGTTCTAAGCACCCCTTGAATATCTGATATTTTATTTTATTTACATCTTATTTTTCTGCTATGTGCATGAAGATAAGAGAAGGGACAAGAACCACCCGCCACAAAGAAAAAAAAAAACTAAGCACATGTGCTGTCCATGTAAATAATATGTGTGTGTATAGGACATGCTGTTGTCATGTGTGAAGACTGCCTTAGAAGTGATCATTGAAGTAAATTCCATTTTTATTGTGGAGTTCTGTTGGTATTTTCTTTGTAGTTCATATAGGAATTTTTTTATTTTTAGACATTATAAACCAAAAACCAGTTGATGTTGAAAATTTTGATGCTTTTCATAAATAATGATAATATTACAAATTCATTGCTGACTTTTTTGATATTTCTTGCTGCTGAGTACTCATTATTTTAAATAATAAAACTCATAAAATAAATATAAACTTCGTCGATATAGTGTGAAGACTAGACGTGGGTGTCTCACACCCACACAACGCTCCCTTGACACCAGGCTGGCGTGGCTCTTCTGCTGGTCTCACCTGAGTCCGACGTTGAGCTGCAGTCCTCTGGTGGCTCAAGCGCGGCTTCACGGCCTGAAGCGGAGTCACCCACATTGGGTGTCCGGAAGTTTGTCAGTTTGGTCTCATTTCCCCTGTCCCTCACGTTGAAGGACAGCGGCTCGGCTTCTTTACCTGACTGGGGCGCATTTTAAGAGAATTGCTGAAGTAGCTTCAAGTGTTCTGGAGGCCAGGACCTAGAAGTTGGCACAACATCAATTCCACCTTTCTCTGGGAATCAAAGAAAACCTCAGGACAGGCTCAGGTTCTCAGAAGTTGAAGTTGGTTCCACCTCTTACTGCAAAAAGTTCTAATCACCCCAAAGAAGAAGCATGTATGAAGACAGTAGAAATTATCTATTACCATCTTTGACAATTGACCACAGTTATAAATGGGTTAAGTATCATGTTATGCATTCATGTTATGTGTAACTGCATAGGATTCTTAAATTAATGCATAATAATCCTTAAATGGGATGGGCACTAAGAGATGGAGGTGGGAGGAGAAGGAGACATAAAAAGAAATAAGATATGTCGTGTAGATGTACCAACTACCCACAATGAATGTAGTCATCAAATATTGGAAACGTGCACTAATGAAGTAAAATTTTAAAATAATAAAGTAGTAATGTGCCAGGGATTTGGCTCAGTGGTTCTGCCACCTGCCTCACAAGTGCAAGTCTCGAGTTGGATCTCTGGTACCAAAAAAGTAAAATAAAATAAAGTAGTAATGCTGTGAAAGGTAATTAGGTTGAATTTTAGGTTTTCTGTATATGTGTGCCCAAGAATGAGGGGACATATTCAAGTCTCTTTTGGCCTCACATAGACAAAACCAAAATACAACACAAGGTTTTTGCTCCTTATTTTATATTCATGAACCTATATACTAGTCCTATATACTAATGAATACACACACACACACACACACACATATATGCTTTCTATTTAAATGGAAAGAATGCCAACCAAAGGATTTAAATTAAATAAAACTAACATGAAGGTTGAATTGTGCTTCTTTAAAAATCATCAAATTTTCTTCAATATCTTAAGAAATATTTACAGTAACTTAATAATGAAAAAACATGTTTATAAAAGGTAACCTGGAGTTGAGATCCATTTAAAAATAAATTATGCATCACACTAACAGCACTTATAACTTAATGACTTCCAACTAGTTATCATGTTCTGTGCCCCCAGCAAACAGCACCTCTTGCTTGTCAAATTGTTTCCTCCTCCCTCTTCCTTGGCTGGCAGTCACTGGAGTCAGAGGCTAACAGCAGAAGATGTCCTTCTAACAGTAACATCTGCTGGCGCTATAACATTTGCCGTGCATTCATGGCTCTTACTTTTAGTTAAACTTTAATTGTGAAGAAATGAGATGTGCACATGACATTTGTTGGAGGATTTATTTTCTTCATAGAGGAAAATTTGCCAGGACATTTATCTGCATGAAATTAAATAAAATCAGAGAGCCACTGAAACTTTTATATCCATAAATGTTAAACATTATAAAATGTTCTTTTTTGTTGTAAAGAGAACCTCTGTAAAGAAAATGTGAATTAAAAATATTATTGTTGCTATATCCATCACAGAATCCTGATAGTAAAAATGTCTCTCCATTCCTTGACACACAGCACTTTCCAAAGCATTTCTGCTCCAGCTTTGATGCAGAAGTTACCTCTCTGACTACTCTTACCATCAGCAGAATGGGGCTTGTTGGCAGAAACTGGTGACCAAGCTTATTGCCACTAGACACAACACAGGAAAAAGTAGAAAGTTTGTGATATAGGTTAAATGTTTCTAAAACAAAGTAAAAATACTGCTATAGTTTGGCTCTTCAGTGTCCCCCATAGGACTCTGTTGAAGGCTTAGTCCCAAGCCCAAGGCACTGTTGAGAGTTTGTGCAATCTTTAGGAGAGAGGCATAGTGTCAAGGAGATAGTTCTCAGAGGCATTCCCTTGAAGGGATATCAGAACTCTGGTCCTTCCTCTACTACTCTTTTTCTTCCCAGAAATCCTGAACCAAGCAGCTTCCTCCAGCATATACCCCCTGCTATGATGTTTTGGTCTCCACAAATTAAATACAATAAGGCCAACCAACTATGCATTGAAACTTCCGAAGTTGTCAGCCAGTGGCAACCTTTTCCATTTATAGGCTGATCATCTCAGGCATTGTTTGTGGTGACAGAAAGTTGACTAACAAACCCACTCTCTGTGGTTGATGTTAACCAACAGAAAGGAATCCAGGAGGTACAGAGCCTAGGCTAGACCTTTAGGGTGGCTCTTTTGCTTGTGATTCCCTTCAAGATGCCCCAAATGAAGGATGGTTGGGCAGATTTAGTGACCATTTAAGACGTAATAAAATGTGCATTTATCTGGATAGCCCATGTAGAATATTTTTTCATTCCAAATAATTACTCAGACTATCTGTATGTATATAATCTCAGAAACAACTAAGTTTCTAAATTTTGTGGTAGTTCATTATTGTAGTTTGTGAGGAAAACGAAAACTTACTTATGGTTTCTTGCTTTTTGTACTTCAGAAGTTGGAAAGTGAATACTCCAAATACAAAAAGTAAGGAACTCACTGCTAAATTCCTTCATCATGTTTTCTCATGTGTAACTTTGGTATTTAACATGCTAAGTCTGGGACCATTGCTTATTTCATTGTCTGTGAATGAAATATTCTTGGGGACGAGGGAAATTTCCTGCACACAAGTGAGAACATAGCACCACACTTTCATCCCCGTGCCTCACACTGAAGTCTGGAAAGCTGTGTGTCCAGATATGATTCCAACCCAAACGTTAGCATTTTGAACTATTTATTTGATACTCTTTATACAGTGTTTGTAATTCCAAAAGTAGAAATACTTTTCTAGGTTACAGTTTTCTTTTATTAAATTTTATATATAGGTACACATCAACTCTTTATAGGTGGGGTTGCTGAACCAAACAATTTTTATTTTTTTTCTATTAGTTAAAAATACTTAAACATAGGTAATTTAGAATGAGAAATCGGAGAAGAAAAGTATTTGACTTCTTGGGAAAAATCGTACCTCATGGAATTAGAAGAAGGTAAAAACTATTGAGAATAATAAAAAATGAAGTGAGCTGCCAGCATCAATCTTCCTGTTTATGTTAGTTGAGCTTTCATTTTAGAAAGTATTTTCTGAAGAACAGTTTTCTCTGGGAAACTTCGAAAGCAAATAATGAACAAATAGAAATCGAAACAAGACAAAAAGATGTTAAGGTGGAATCAATTTTCTAAAGCTGCACGATAAACTTCTCATTAGAGATTCAGGCATTAGCTGCCACATGAGAAGGCCTGGAAAAGCCTGGCAGAAAAGATACTCGCATTGCTTTGATTCATTGTTTTCCGAATGTTTTATCATCGTGGAACACCTTTTCCTTATAACAGCTATTAGTATCTTGAGGCGTGAATGTTTCTCTGGACAATTGGGAAATGCTCTGAGACAATAAAAATGTCTTAATATCCTGCGTACTTAAAAGCAGCTCTTCCATAACGAAGCTTTGTAGATTCATATTATTTAGGAACACATTTATTTTAAAGTTGTCAAAGTTTTACCCCTGGAGTATAAAAGCACGAACTGAGATTTTTATGCATGCAGAACAACCCAAGAGAATAATTTTAACAAGTGCAATTAAGTCAGATACATGCATTAATTTCAAACAACAAACCATTTTTGGGAAAGGAGAATTTCACAAAAGAACTGCCACATATATCATAGTAACTTAACTAATAATTATACTAGATAGATTCTGGGGAAAATAATAGATATATAATAAAATTTAGACCATCTCCTTTCAGTCAGTAAGATATATGTGTGATTCAGCTTTCCCTAAAGTATCTGAGGCTCTTTCTTAGACACTTCCATGGAGCAATAGTTAAAATTATAATGCTCAGGTACACTTCATTGCAGTAATCAATTTAATTCAAACTGATTAGCAATTATTGAGTACCTGCCATGTGCCACACTCTGTGCTAGGTCTCACTTCCCATTCTTGTTTGAGTTTCCACCTTGTCATTTCATTCTGATGTCAATGCCCAGAACAGTTACTTCAGGCACAGACAAGAAAGCTGGCCTAATTGACTTGAAAGAGTCATAGTTGGTAAATAGCAGAGTGAAATGCTGACACAGGTGTTGTTGCACCCCTTCCAGAGCTGTGTACACAGGGCCATAACATCCCCCTAAAAAGCCCATCAAGTGAGAAGCCTCTGGGCATTGTTGCTTAGAATGTGTGTTCTAGAGACAAATTGACTGGGTTTGAAAAATACATGTCCATACTTCTGGTCCCCCTTATCCCAACTTTGGGTCAGCTCTACCCTCACCTCTGTAAGAACCAGTGTTATTTAGAGATGAGCCATATATACAAACTTACAAATAATTCTTATTGTACATTCATCTTCCTTGTAATTAATGATTAATTTTTCTGCTGGGTAGTCCATATACTTGTCACTAATGTATTCTCCTATCCTGTTTCAGTTGCGTAATGATCGTATTAATATATTAAGTACATTCAGTGTTCTATGAGTTTTCATTATCTTCTTGAAAAGCACCTCAGAGTCTCTTTTTCTCAGGGGAATGGGAGAAAAACACCTGTCATTACCTAATATTGTTTTCTGCATCTCCTTTGTGCTGAAACCCATGGCTTCTGCTTTATTTACTCCCTTAGTTTTGAAGTATGTCATCCAAAGTCTTCCTAAAATAAATGCACTAGAGAAAAACATTTGATGCACCACCTGTATTAGAAATACTATATTTTACTTTCACATTTGAGTGATAGTTAGATGTGTAAATTCTAACAGGAAAGTTATTTTATACAAAGACATCTCTATTATATTTTGACTTTCAGTGCTTCTACTAAAATAGCCCCCCCCCTTTTCTTACATTTCTGTATCATGGGCTGTTATAGTCTCTGTTTCTCTGCTTCTCTCTTCCATTCCCTCCCACTCTCCCTCCCTCCCTCTGTCAATTTTTTTCCTTGCCTCCAGGGTTCTGAAATTTCACCCAAAATCTCCATTTAGAATATATTTGTATTTGATGTAATGACACTGGATTACAACAAGCACCTATAAATCCATATTGACATAAACAAATAAAAACATGTTGAGGGTCTTTTAGTTAGAATACTTTCTCAAATTATTTTGAGAACAATTTGATAATTTCTTAGTTTTATT